TGCAAGCTAATTTGAACTCACCATATTAGTAAAATAATCCATGTCTATTTTGTCTGCTCAAGTGTCACTCTTAATGCCTTATCTTCATCTTCTACAATACCTGTGCCATTTTCATAGCAGTATCAAGATTATGTTGTTCATAGGAATTTGCTATATGGGTCAATTTGACTCGGCAAAATTTTTCTTATTTGATCGACAAGCGACCAATGAATTTGTTGAACATGTTTTATTTCAATTTATGCTTTTGTGGAATTAATTAAATAAAAAGTCATCAAATTTCATTGGGTGGATTTCGAGATATCTTCGATTAAAGTTCAAAAATTTTAAGCATCTATCAAAATGTAAGCTACTTAAAATTTTCCTAAATTTGATTGATGCACTCTTTTTTTTTTTTTGAATTCTATAGATTCATAGGATCTGAATAAAAAAGGTTCATCGAATTTCATTTGGTGGTTGTCAAGATATTTTCAATCAAAGTTTTTTTTTATAAAAAAGTGACATATAGAAAGTGAAAATATTGATTTCTTTAATAATACAAGACTTTACTATCAGTAAATATATATATTGCACATTAATTTATTTTACTCAAGTTTAAATATAGCTTTCAAACTGAATTGGCTTAAATTATTTACAAATGTTTAGTATATGTAGTATAGATTTAAAAAGATAAAAAACTATCTAAAATATTTTATAATCTGAAGTAATGAATGTAATCTATTGTCGTGTATAAATTCTAAGCATGATGAATGTAATGGTGATACATCAAATAATTTGAAAAAAAATGTGGAAATTAAAAATTTATTTGCTATAAGTAATTAATGTAGAAACAATCAAATGAATAGTAGTATATTCAAGGCCTTAACTGCTATAAAAGAATTTTCTTCGTTAAATTATCAATGTAAAAAAAAATGAGGTAAAAATTTGTTGAAATATAATAACAAAGCATGTAAAAAAAAAAGATAAAGATGATATCTCAAATCGAGATTATTAATAACTCAAAGGTGAGCTCTCTTTGCTTACTTTTAATAATATGAGACCAATTGATAATCTCGCACTGTGTTTTTGCATTTTTTTTTTTTTTATTGAGTTAGTCTTATTTAATGTTGCTCAAATCAAATTTTGTTATTCTTTTGTTAATTACACAGATTTCTCTTGAGTCACATTTTTCTGACTGTAAAATTACATTACTAATGCAAATATTAGATCACAAATCAGATCGTACTTTTAATTATTCTAAACACTTAATTTTGGTTATGTTAAAAGAAATTACTCATATATGGAAAAATGTATTAAAATTTAAATAATGAATATATTATGTTACAAAATTTACCAAATTTTAATTGTGTAACACTTAATATTTGCGATTAATGTCTACAAAGAAAACTAGATAAAAAAAGTAACATTTATTATTACAGATTATTGAATAAAAAATACAAAATGCTAAAATTATATATATATAATTATTTCCAATACTATTTTTCCATGTTTTTTGTAGATATTTCATCTTCACTTTATCCTTAATTTACAATGTTGAAAAATCTAATCTTTATTTTTATCATTGCAATCTTCAGTAATTTAATCTATACTGTGACATCTACAATACCTCTTAAATAGAGAAGAAATAAATTATTTAGAGCATTTCAGGATAATGCATATTATGTTGGAATGTTCTCAAATCAATCTTCTTTAGTAGAAAGAGACGTTTACACTTGCGAACCTGGATATTCTCAATATCCAGGGACTACTTTATGTTGTTTTACACAATGTAGTAAAATTTGCGATAACATTGGTTGTTGTTCATCAGGTTATGATTGTTGTAGACAATATTGTTGTCAGATAGGTTATAATTGTTGTGGAAGGAAAAAACTCTTTCCATAAATCCTTAGTACAAAAAATTTTCCAAAAACCGTCCAACAAAAAAGTTCATTTTTACAATATTTTATTAAGATTAC